GTTCTTAAACTTTTTTGTTTTAAACATGTCTAGTTCGCTCCCTATTTGCTTGCATCTCTTCTTCTTTGATGCACTAACTGTGTTTAAAACATCCATTCTGTCCACTTCTCCCAGCTCCACTAATACGACAGTATAAAACAAAATGTTAGTATGATAAAAATTTTTAGATATGAGACAAATAGAAGAATCTTTAGCATAATACTTTTATCAGTGTATTACCTTTCCAGATTAATGCCACTATCATCTAAATTTGTTGATTCAGCACCATAGGTTGATTGTGTGTCAGGTCCATCAGGTGTTGTGCCACCACACTCAAAGGGTGAGTTTTGCGTGGTTTGCATTTTCGTCACGTGATGTGTTTGTTCTTCCATTTTGATTGTCGGATGTGGACGGTGTGTTTGGTTCGTATCTTCTGGTTCCAGATGTTGACGGTCTGCTGCGTTTACCAATTTCCATTTCAGACGTAGACGCTGTGTTTGAATCGTTTATGCTGGTTTCGGCGGTGGACCCCAAGCTGTCTCTTGCGATATTTGTATCTAAGATGTTGAAGGCTAAAAATGACTATTACTATTTGGCTTTCAATGACAATCACACGTTTAGTCAATATACACTTTAGATTTCTTTTTAAATAGCATCTGTTCTTAAATAAATTTTTAAAGAAGCTGATAATGATAATACTTTGAAACTAACATAACATGACTAAAGAATAGCCAGTCTATTCCATTTGTAATCTTTTCGCACTTGCTTCCATCTGTATAAAATTAGTTGTTAAGAATGCTAACCTTCCGAAAAAACAATCCAATTCTCACTTCCAAATGCAGATTGTTTTATAATTACGCAGTTTCTGGAAGCAGTTTCTACTCCATCTGAGCCTCTGCTGATCTTTTTCACCATTTGCCTTTGCATTGAAATACTGGCTTCGCCCATTGACCACCCCAATGTCGAGAGACTTAATTTCTTGTCTCACTCTTTCTTCATTCGGAAACAGAATACCGTGATCTTTTAGCAAGGCGAACCATTTCAGTGCCACTGCTACTCCATTTAGTCTTACTCCACTTGAGCTTGACTTAAATGTCACTTTTGGATTCACGCAAGTGAGTAGCTAGAAATGAGAAATGTCACAATTACTTTATGAATTTAGTCTATGGGCTATGAATTTATTACATACGTTTTTGCAAGATATTTTGTGCTCTATTGACTTCATTATTAAGTCCACAATAACTGTTCTGTTTGAAGCATTGCATGAGACACTTTGCGCTTGGTTTGTCTGGAATCGCTTCATCCACACTGGCAGGATTGTTTGTTTGAAAAGCGATGGCATTGCTTGGATAGAGATCATCAATACTTGCCAGACGTATTACCTATGTTATAATTGTGCAAGTTGTCATTGGCTATTGCTCAATTTTTCATGTTATGTGGTTAATAAGGCAGTTATCTTCTCAGCAAATGCTACCAAAGTGCTTCTAAACAGCGGTCGTCGATGTTCGGTGCTTCAATGGCAAATTGTTGACAGAGCTCATTAGTTCGCGTTATGCAGAGGTATTCAACAGATCTGCTAATTGCCACCATGGTCCCAAAAGCACTAGACCCTCTTTCCATTATTACATTGTTTTGGAATTTGCGTTCTGTTGATTCTCGATTCCGAGAGGACTTCTGTTCCTTCTTGAAAGGGAATTAGGACAAGCCTTCCAAGTACTCTAAGCACGTGAAGAAATTACATTAGTGCAATAAAAGAAACTTCTTCCATAAATACGGAAAATCTACCTGGGTCATTGTTCAATCCTCTAAAGTTTCCCAATTGACTGTGAACATCGGAATGGTTCGAGGAGCTGCTTCGAAAACACATGTCCCGTCTTTGCCACTGTTGTACAACCAATAACTGTGGGGCTTTAACGTCGTCGAGCACGGGAGGCAAAGTTGATCTGCTGCATAGCCTGGGGATGAATCTTTCCCTTACTGCTGAAAAGAAGTTTGATCCATTTCCTACAAGACTTAGTGCGGCTTTTGAAGATTTTGTCTTTCCAAGTCTGTTTGTTCCACATACAATGGGCAGGACAAAATCCCAGAATATCCACAATCATTTCATAATGAAAGCCTAATAACATTCCAGCTATTTTGAAAAACAAAAACTAATTAAATCAGTGATCAAGTTTCGCCGGCTCTTCATATCGTTTCATTCAAGTGAATATTGTAGCTACATATAAAATTCACTATTTAACTACCTCAAAACTTAAATAAGCAACAGGTCTACAAATTACTATTATTCTTTTCATGCTAAAATGGGTTCAATATAAATGACAAATGTATTTTACATGAAAAACGTCAGCAATTTTGTAATAAACGGGCGTCACTTGCCAAAATATTGAGCATATTGTAATGAGCTTACCAATTGTGAATACAGCAGCGATACCATTATGATGCAACATGGATATTAGAGATTCCACCATTTCACCTAATGTTAAGGAACATAAAGGCAGGGTTACTTTCAGGCCAATGAGTTGCTGTTCTTTCTGATTCCAAGATTGCCTTGACCCATATAATGCTGGTCTCTTCTGTAACGACGACACCATCACCGTTCAATTGCAAGTTTCGCCCAAAACCCAAACGTCTGAATTTGGTTGTCTACCAATGCAGCAAACAGCTTGGTACGTGTCTCTCACTTCATTGATTCGGCATTTCCTGGAAGCGTTATTTTGTTAAAAGTTCAGGATTTAAATTGTTCATTGATGTCAATTTTATTCATGAAGTAACTAGAAGTTACTTCACCGCAAAAATGGTTAGGCTTATTTCATCTCAACATGAAAGAGTTATCAAAATGACGGGGATAGTTTATCTGATCGAATAATCTGAATTAGTTTATAATTACATTTTGTGAAATGAGGCGGCAAGACAACGTCTCCAATACAGTGAAAAATTAGAAAAACGAAATACATCTTGAATTATGAAAATAATAATTTCGATAATTTGGTTTACCTAAAATAGTTCTTTATCTTCGCACTTGATGAAGCATTTGAATTCATGAGGATCGAAGTCACTTGTCAACACACCTGAACTGTATGATTTATTTAAATCGTCCATAAATTTCGATTGACCTCCAGAGATTGCACCTTTGCTTCGGAAGAAACACAACCTGAATACACACACACATTTTCTCTGTATGGAAATGATGAACAACAATGACAATATGAAAAATAAGAGAACAAAAATTCTTGACTTACCTGGACTCTTCACGCAAGGAGCAATATACGCGACATTGAAAGCCACTGTCATCGCCTGCGTCAATGTGTTTCAGCAATGACATCGAAAAACTAGTTTTTCAACATACCCGATTCTCCATTTTTCTCCTCACACGAATTCCCATAGTTTTTCTTGAATTTCAATTCATAGTCTGAAGCCATATTCCTGCCTAGTTTATAGCTTACCAGAGTTTGTAAGGAAGATGTACCGAATGAAAGATATGTTGAAACGCCTCTATATATATGCTAAGGAATTTTGTGTTACGCCCCTTTGTAAAAGCTGAGGCCTCTAATTGGCTGAAAACAATCCAGACAATGAGCGGAAACTGCATGACGTACATTATATTGAACGTCGTGCATTGATCAAGTCTCAATTTGACGTAATAAAAAACATAAGTATTGTGATGCAGTGTGACAACCAATCTCTTTGTAGCTACTTCAAGTTTTTATATAATTTTCAGTCATCTTAACGTTTAAACTTTTATACTTAAGTGTTTTTTCTCCTTAAAATGATGTTTTAATGATGCATGATAATGCATCTTCCGTTATCTTGTCCATGCATTTATTGACAATTGTTCAATAATGAAAAGGCGCATAAAATATTCATGTCATTTATAGCTGTTTTTCAAGATGTGACACTTTTGCACTCTGACTAATATAAAGGAAATTCAAATGGTACTTCACTTGATGGACGTTTAACACTCTCAGTGTAAAAGCATAAAAATACTTTCAGTGTTTTATTTGTGCTCTTCAGATTTTGAAAAAATTCCTACTTACATTCATCTATTACAACATTTACCCTCAGAGATTTCTCTAATTTAAAAGAATGCTTTTTATGCATGATATACTTATCAATTTGACTAGTTAAGCAACAACATTAATGTTATTTCAATTGATTTGCAAACATCTTTTTGTACATTATCATAGTGCTAGCTTGGTTTTAGCTAATATCAAAAATTTGATCAAAAGAAAATATTCATGATGTTGGAGCTTGTGTATGTTTTGAAAGATATGTTCAAATTATGTAATATGACCAATATAAAAGAAATTTAATTCAGTCTGACAGTAATTTTGATTTTTCCTGTCAATTAAAAGAGAAAAGTATTCAGTATGTAATTCACTCTAAATAAGAAAGATTGCATCACAGTTTAAAATAAGCTATAAAGTTTTGTAAATTGCAGAAGTATATCAATTTGAGTTAAGGCACCATTGACATGTAGAAGGTATTCTTTCAATTTTAATGTCCAGGAAACAGTTATTACGACATGGACTTGATTCTGTTTGAAACTTAAACCTGTACCAGACACCGATCCTTGGTAAAATAATTAGACATTAGTTACATATAGTAATATTAAGGTTCTGTCGAAGTTGCGGAGGAACTAACAGCAAGTGATCACTAACTGGCATATATGTACATATTTTAATTGAACGTTTAATAAAACTTGATTTTTAATACTAATGTTGTATGTTTTATTCAATATAACTTGTTGAAAAACTAGGAATGATGAAATTGTTCAAAGGAATGCTTGATTATATTTAGAGATGAGACGATTCGATTAATAGACGATACCTAGCGGGGGAATGGGGGTGATTTTCGAATGAACATTAATAGTCAAAACAGGTTAATCGAAACGCAATAAAGGATAAAAAAAAATTTTAAAGAAATGAAGGTTGAATGAACCACGCAATTCAATACTAGTAAAAATGACTATTATTTGTTTGTTGTAGATAATCGACCATGCATATATAATTGCTCATCTCCAATTACAGATGCGTAAATAAAAGGGAATGAATTAGCTTTCCTGTCTTACGAACGACTGGTAAAAGAGGTTTTTTACCACTCTTATAGCATCTAACAGTATATTTGTTTCTGTGCTTTACCATTCTATGTAAGTAAAACAAATGATGTACTTTGGGCATAGCACACAGTATCTTCTTAAACCTGGAAAGCCAGACGAAAGTCTGTTCAGCAGCCATTGTATTTCCATTTGGGATTTCAGTTTTTAAAGGCAAAGGATTGTATTTCTCCAGGCATTTCTCGTCTTTGTGATTTTTGATATGAAGGCTATCAATTATTTTACGAATTGACAGCCATGCTTTATCCCATGGTTGAGACCATGGCAAAACTTTTTTCGCTGCTTGTAAGCCATCTAGGTGGCACATGTTGTCATATGAAAAAAAAACGGAACTCCAATTCATTGGGTTGATTTCCTTTAACATAATGCGCAGCCAAGAAAGAGTTATCAAAAACACTTGAGAAGGGCTTTCAGATCTGAAAATTAATTGTTATGTAAATGTATAATAAATACAAAGTTTTTCTGAAGATGCGCTTTTGTCAAGCATTCTCTGTGCTTACCTATAAAGAGGACTCCATTTATCGATTATTCCTCCTCCTCTAACTATAAACAAATGCCCTCTTGACCACTTTTGAAGTCTTTGTTTTCCCCCAGTTTCCTTATTGCATTTTGTTTTTGTTGGTTCAACACAATCTCTTAAAATAGCTTTAATTGCCTCTGGCTCATTATTAACGAACTCAGCATTGCCTATATGGTACAAATTAGCGTTAGCACTAGTTATCAATTGAGTTTCGAAACGACACACAATACACTGCTTTGTTGTTCCATGCATTGTTCAAAAAGAATGAAACACCTACACAAGGCTTTCTAAGTTCTAACCGACAAGAAATTTGTCAAGAGATTTGGTTTTCATTTACAAAAGAATGACTTTGAGGCTTGAGGCCTGAAACTTTTGACGCTACACTTTTATAAACATTGAAAGTGCGAGAAGGCAAAGGAAAAGCACGCAAAATCAAAATAATCCAAAGTAACAATTTCCCCACCATCACGCGTGCATGTATAACTATAATCCAAATGCTGTCAAGTTATTTTCTATCTTAAAAAATAATAAGTTATTAATTATCGGTACCAATGTATTGAAATTTCATCATATATATAATATGGATGAGGTTAAAAAAATTCAAATTCATGCCGTCATTCACAAACCTGCTTTATAACACACGGTCATCAACGACCACTTTACGTTAGTAGGAAAACTTAGGTTTCACTGATATATATTACTATATTAGCTACAATGTAAAACTGTTTTTCATATTGTGAAATAAACAAATTTTAGACAAATATACCTTGTGATCTAACAACACTATTTCTACTGAAAAGTGTCGTCATCTTTATCAAGCTTTCCCAGTGTTTCGTCCATTTTGACACGTCATTGTTAGAAAGCAGACCTGTGTCGTCAATCAATTCTTCACCTATAAAATAGAGTAATTCTTTGTAGTAATTTTCTGTCAGCTCTGTAATACACATATCATTGAGATAAATTTAGAGAAAGGGGTACCAATTTCCCTGCAAAATGCTATATACTAAAGCAAGAGCAGTTGTGATTAAGTGTAAAAGCTCTGTTAATATATCTCGAATTGATCATGAAAAATCGGACTTTATTCTCAAGCATGATTATAGTCATGACAATTTTGGAGTACATACCTATGTTACTTGGCTTCACACCACAATATCTTAAAAATCCACGCACACTAGTGGGTACATTAGGGAAGTTTTTTTCCAAATATTGCACATGCTGTTCGCAGAATGCCTTTCCATGTTGAGGCGACTCAGTGCATACATTGGGATAGTTTAGCAATGGAATACCTTTTACAAAATTCTGAAAACAATTTCACATAATATTATTAAGTTACGAAAAGCAAAGGAGTAATTTTATATAAAACTAAGATAAGTACCTTTCTACGCATCATGCAATGAGGAAACATTAATTTCCATATTCCATCGGCAACCCATAGCCTTCCACATCCTATAAGTTTGATTACGAAAATATCTTAGCCTGATGAGAATCACAGCTATTTTCCAATAGAATATATTTGTAGCTTTTAAACTAATTTTAAAATACAATTGCATCTAACTTACCGCGCTCTTTGCAAGTATCAGAACAATCATCTGATGTATGCTCGTACAAACTTCTCGCCCTAATTTTGTCGATTTGTTCTAGAACACTAGAAGAGTTCCCATCTTCTTTAAGCAAACCAAAAAAGTCCAGTTGCCCCAATTCCCTCAACTCATTCTCCATCTCGCCGACCCAAAATGAAGCAGCAACTTGTTTCTCTCCAAAATCTTTATATAAAACGCAAATAATGCTTACCATCAAAAACTGTAACAACGTGATAACAGTAATACAGATCTACAACATATCGTTCTCTTACTGCCATTGTATACTTCATTAAACGCTTCAGAAAAACCGTTAAATGATACCCACGAATGACAACTATAGAAAACATGTTTCATTTGTAAAATCTACTTGCTATTTTAACATTAATTAATCAAGTGATTATATTGTAACTTACGCGAGTGACAGCTGCCACTGAAGCAAAGTTGAATCAACAAAACAGAGATCCGTAGCCTCGATCATTTTTCTTTGTTCGATATAACATCCAGCCATCTTTCCCATTACCGTACTTGGAATATCCATAAAGCAAATTACAGCGATTGCATCTAAGCGAAACTTTCACTCCATTGGTAGTTCCAGAAAGATCGTGTACCTGAACTTTTACTGGCTTATTGTACCTCACAAGGTCATGGTTGCACTTAATACATTTGGAGCATGGAGGTGTAAATACATGCAACTTCCTATCGGTTGTACTAGGAACTTTTAATTTAGAAGCGGACTGTAAAAGAACATTTACATCTTCTTCTTCTAAATTGGGACATACCAAAGCCAACCCTTCTTTACGTACATTCACGGGGAGTACAAGCAAAGACGACGCAACATTGGCAATAGAGCACACAAGTGACAACCCATATTTCAAAACAAGAACAAACAGAATTACATCAACATTTAGATCATTGCAGACTTTCAAATTAATAGATTGGATATCACTTAATATCCTCGACCCCACATATTCTTGATGTAGTTCCTTGTTGACATCTTTTCGCAAATCGTCAACCGATTGACAATTGTTACGCCTGCGCTTCGACATATTTTCAGCTTTTCCTAGTCAGAAATGATTTCTGGCTTTCCCCAGTGATCCAGTGAGAAATGACTTTGGCTTTTCCCAGTCAGAAGTCATGGGAAATACTATTATTATATATTAAGCAATCTCGATTGCAATTGGCTAAGAACCTACCTACACTGCTATAGGTGACATATCATATAATTGTCCATGGAAAATTGTAAATAAAAGTATAATGGCAGACTCTTGCTCGATATTTGCAAGCGTTTTGCAAACTTTTTTCGCTCGAATTATTGAGTATTAAGACGTAAAAATAAACGGAATGGGTTAAATTGTCAGTGAGGAGAGTTTTCATCGAGTTTTTCGGGAGAAAGACGAATGCGACACTGCGGACATTACGTCATTCGAGTGTGATAGTGTGATGTCGTGTGATGCATCACAATATTGCTAGCCAAAGTAGCAAAAATATATCGCGCATCAGATGGCACAGAAAGCAATCGAAATTACATCTTCCGCATTCTAAAAATTTAGAACTCTGTGTAATACCCATTTAGAATGAGCGAAACGGTGAAACTTTTCCATTTATCACACTAAAATGTAATATCGCAAATGGAATTTATTGCTGGAAGGAAAACTCTAAGATTATTTAATGATGTTTCTGTACTTTTACGTTCATGTTGTCTTTAGATGTTCAATCTGACGAAGTAAAGCATTGGTGATTGATAACTTAATAATTCCATCGAGGGATGTCTACATTATGATAAATACTGCTGTCAAATACACAGTCAAAAGATTTCTGACAAAACGCTATGATAGGTAAACATAATTACATTTCTTATTCCCGTGCTGTCGTTTACTTTTAATAATACCAATGATTTAAGAAAAGTATTTGTACAATTAAAAATTGTAAAACATCATTTTATCATTAGATGTCGAAATGCTGCGTCAACACAATTTGAGTTTGTTCTAAGCAATAACAACTGTTGCAGTTCTTCATTAAACATCATCTAATTTTATTGGTCGTGTTCTTGGTTATACACAAGTTACCCTCGTTGATAAAAGTATCTTTTGTGTGTACTTCTGACTGAGGGGTAGGTTTTGTTCTTTGTATGTACAAGTCACCCTTGTTGATAAAAGTATTCTTTTGTGCACACCATGGACTGGGTGGGCTGACAATTGTCGCGCGAGGGGAGGGGGAGGCTGGCTAACATTTATATATGCATGTTCTTATTAGCTTCTCTCTTTAAAACTGTGTATGTACGTATCTCTGTTTCACTGTACAATACAATAGACAGCATGTACTTATGGTACGTAAGTAGATACTTGTAGTACATTACGTGAGGTACTTTTTATGGATACTTGGTTTAATCTTTAATTATGATGAGACATGAAAGATCAAATATCTACAAGACAACCAACAGCTTATATTTATGTTGATGAACCTCATCTAGGTAATTTCTGAATTCATAATGTTTAAAATGATTATGGACGTCGTGATTTGCACGTGCTTGATTCATTATTGAAGCGTGTTGTGTGACGCCACTGAGCGCAAGTTGTGACGTTTCGCAAACTTTTGGCGCCAAATTTTGTTTTCAAACACGAAACGACGTTAAAATTTCAAAACTTGGGCGAAGAAATTGCGTTAGAAAAGGATTTGGAAAAAATTGTTATTGATTTCATTGAATGAAAGAGTTAAAGCACATTTACCTGTGACGTTTTACACGAGTTGTACATGTTTAAGTTTTGATTTGTAAAGCATCATTGATATTTTCAGCTTAACATTTATAGAAATCTCACAACTCCTCTCGTATTAACTTGAACATTTGCTAACTATTTGAAAACCACATCAATAGTCTTATGAAAGAAATCTTCAATTTCGTGCGTTGCTTGCTGTTGTTACTGTTGCTTCATCACGTAAACAGTGGGGAAGCTGGTTGAGATAACAAGGTCATGCTCATACCGCTAGTGCACAGTTTCACGAGGCGCCACCATGGTTGGCGCCGAGTGTCGTAAATTTTGAAAATTAAATGCCTTAAACTCCCGGAAAACGCTTTTTGGTTTTATTTACGAAGCTATAACATGGAACGTCACGCCTCGTACAACCGTTTAAATTTATTTTTCAAATATCCTTCAGTCTTGGACTGTTTCTGTTCTATGTCAGGGCTCATCAGCATGCCTAGGAAACACACAACACATCCACTCTGGAAGTATAAAATGTGATTCCGACATAGACAGCCCCTCATTAGAGCCTTTTTAATGAGCAGTCTGGTTTTAAGGCGCCAGATTCTCGCCCTCACACCTCAGTTGAAAAGAGGAATTTGGTTAGAAATGGGAGACCATCTGGGACAATTTTTAAAGAATGAAAATGCTCAATTCTCATCCTATTCTCGGTCTTTTTCCAACCCTTTAAAACCATTTCACAATTTTTCCAGAAAAGTTTAACCTTTATAGAGCACATTTTTTAAGCGCAGTTTATTTGGTTTAGTGATTATTGCTGATCTGCTTCAGAGGAGACAAATGGTTGTATCAAGTGCACACCAATTATCAAAACATACATTTTCAAAGATTTGTTTTGGTTTGCTTAAAGCGGCATTAGAGAGTGAATGAGCCATGCAGACTCATTTGTATGAAAAATTTAGTCTGCGAGGTTTTTTAATAAACTTATCCAGGATGGCTGGATGTAATTGCTTTTGATCGTCTTTTGCTTTTAAAATATCTTTATGAATTGAAATTCTGCATAATGAGCCAAGGCGTTCATCCCCCATTGAATTCCTTAAAAGTTTTCACCCTATTTAAACATGAAACGATCTTTCAGCTGAAGCACTAGAAATGGCAATAACAGCGTTAAGTTTCAATAATTTAACAAATTGGTATACACTGAGAATACCAATGTGATAAATGTATTTCAATAATTCCATGGAGTTATCTTTTAAAAAATCTTTATCTTGGTACACAAAAAAAAGTTGACTTCGAAGCCTAGGTATATTAAAGAGAGGACCATATTTTGCTGATAGTTGTTGAATTTTTTCATTGAATAGCTGTTTTCCACAAAAATATTAATTGAAATGAAAAGCTCTCTGCATCCGTGAATCTTTCCTTGTTATTTGTTACACAATCAATGACTTCGTAATAGAGCTGTTTAAAATTTATATTTATCTCAGATTTTCGAGATGGAGGACCAGTTTTACTTTCAGTTGCAGAATAACAAATTTCAAAAGCTGTTTCATTGCGGAGGAAATTAGAAAATTACCAAATTCTTCAATTTTTCTCATGCCAAATGCATAATCAGTAGACCTATTTTGTAGAATATCATATAAAATGGCTGGATCTCTCCAAGATTTGGTAGTAAAGTAGTAAAGGAAACAAAAAGAAATGATTCAAGGTAGTGGAGGAGGCCATCAGTACGTGTACTTGTTTCATCAGTCCATTTCCGGATTTTCACTTATCTCTGTAAATGCTTTCACTAGTTTATCATAATTATTAAAAATAGCAGACACAGCTCGAGGTTTGAAATACCACCTAGTTTCCTGGAGCAGGTATATCAACCCCATGAGATTTCAAATGGGATTTTCTTTCAGACTGGAATTTGTAAAGGTGGAAAATGCAGAAACATTAGAAAAATATTTTCACCTCCTTAATTTTCAGAGCAGATTGACATAAACCAAATTAGCCTATGTGCTGCACAAAAAAAAATAAGCATAGGGGTACACCTGTCTTAAAATTGCCTGTAAACCATTTAGATGACCACTCATCACAGATGTTTATCATAGATTGCTATGGAATACTTAATTTCGTGTTTTCGTGTCTCTTTGATTTTCTGTTGAGAAAATTTGAATATAGTTGATTCTGATGTGCTTCATTTACAATGAAGCACATCACATCGGCACATCACTTCTGTCACATCGTGTTTCACTTTAAGATGTTTTTCACGAGATTTCAATTTCGAAAAATTCGAATAACAAAATCGATGAAAAACAACATTCATAAGAAACTAAAATAGAGAAAAACTATGCAATCAATGTTGTATTTCTTGAAATAGATAATTATAAATAACAACATTCTCACTTCACAAATCAATTCAGTTTCTCTTCGACGCTATTTTTCTTTTTTGATCCTCTCATCTTTTTTCCTTGACGATGTAGAAAATTGTTTTATGATTAGGATAATTCAATTTAATGCATGGATAACATGGTTGACTATATAGATAATATGGTTCACGACATAGATAATACGGTTGACTGTATGGATAACAAGCTTGACTGTATGGATATGGTTCATCATGGATAAGACGGTTGACTATATGGATAATATGGTTCACTACATGGATAACACGGTTGACTATATGGATAACACGGTTGATTATATGGATAACACGGTTGACTATATGGATAATACGGTTCACTACATGGATAATACGGTTTACCACATGGATTATATGAAGACCACCATATAAAACAGGGTGACTTTTTGGATATGTAAATTTATAGAACTTTACTTGCAAAGTAATTTTGTCTCATGTTGAGCTTGTACTAATGTTTGAAATTACTCCTGAAATTCTGTTAATTGTGAAATGAAATACTGTAATGAACGGGCCTAGGAAGATATGATAAAAGAGAAGATAAAGAAGTAAAAATTTGATGGAAAATGGGTTAAAATTAAGCAACAAACCGAACCTGTTCAATATTGTTCTGATTGTATTCAATTTTCAAGTTCTCCAATGTCGTAAGTTCACGATTCATTGACTGAAATGAAACGATTTTGAATCAGAAAATTTCAATAAAAAATTTATAAGATAAAGTTTAATGGATCTTTGAGTACACCACATGATAGATTGAATACACCACGTGATGGATTAATACATCACGTGATAGATTGAATACAACACGTGATAGATTATTTACCGTAAAAACGTGTCACATATACACAAAGTTACAAAAAAACTTACTCTTACTTCAATCTTATTATGGGCAACTTCCAACTCTACTTCTTTATCCTTTTCTCATTTGACACAATCATCCATTTGATGTTTCTGTTTGTTTGTTTTCACCTTACCAATTCTCTTTATGATGCTTCTGAATTTCCTTTATTTCAGAATCATATGTTTTTCTAACCTTGTCGATTTCGTCTCCATTGTAACAGCTTCCACTTCCATCTCGCGTTTAACGTTTACATCTCTTCTTTTTCGCTTAAACCAAACATTTTCTCTCTTTCAAAGAGTTTTTAGCTTCACTATTTCCTGAAAATCTTTGCGCATCTAGAAGAAATAATTATTTGTTTATTTTCATGAAAAGTGAACAAAAATTGGCGGAATCAAATGATCAGTAATCGACGTTGTTTAGTTTGATCAACGTCATACGTACGTAGACTTAAAATTTATTGAGTATCCATTTTCACCTTACCAATTTCTCTTATGATGCTTCTGAATTTCTTTATTTCAGAATCATATGTTTTTCTAACCTTGTCGATTTCGTCTCCATTGTAACAGCTTCCACTTCCATCTCGTGTTTAACGTTTATATCTGCATCTACATGTACATCTACATCTAATGTACATGCACATCTACATTTACACCTACATGTATATGTACATCTACATTTACATTCACATTTACATCTACACAATTTACATCTACATTTACATCTACATGTACATGTACATCTACATTTACATCTAAATTAACATCTACATCATTTACATCATCATTTACATCTACATAATTTACATTTACATTTACATCACATGTACATGTACATCTACATCTACATTTACATCTACATTTAATAATCGTACTAATGAACAAACTTACCAAATGAGCAATATTTTCCAGTGAAACCATGACGACATTGACATTTATAAGGATCAGAACCAGGTCCATCTTTCAAATCAATTATCGCTTTTCCATTATTTTTCATAATTTCTTTATGTTAACAGGTGTCTATAAAAAATATAAAAGCTTTTAGATGTTTATTGTGTTAGATTAAATCCAAACAAATTTACCTCTCTTTGAGGATTTTGTAATTCATAAAATGTCCATGATTAATCATTGCAATTTGAATGTTGTGAAGCCGTTTGCTGGTCAACTGACAATTTACGTTTTCCATCGTTGTGTCTCTTCGAAAGTTCACTCAACACAAAATGGTTCTTATAGACATTTCAATGAACATGATATAATTGATGGAGAATTTGTTTCAAGTAGAACATCTTTCATAACAGAGCATGTCTCTAAAATGTGTCTTTAGAATAGATTATAATTGCTGTTTTCTGTTAATAAAATACTAAAAATTAGTTTATTAGGTTTCTTTCATATTGTCTTTTCTTACACAGTAGGAAAGGTGATAGAATAATTACTTTCAAAAATCTTTCAAAAGTAAATGTTTTGTTTGTCCGATAAAATTGGAGGATAGTGAGAGACACAGATAAAGTTAAGCTTTTATGCCTTGAACATGTCTTCCATGTCTATCGACGAAAGTTTTATGACGTTAAACTCTGCTTTAGAATGGTCATGCACGTCTTCGGCATGTCATTCATGTTTATTGATAAAAGTTTGATAGAGCCAAACAATGTTTAAAATGATCATGAACGCCTTCAAAATGTCAAACATGTGTATGAATAAGAACTTTGATAGTGTTGAAGGCTGTTTAGAAAAACAATCGTCGCAGGCGGCTGTGCGCCCTTCTGGTTACTAAATGAATAATTCATAAGAACACAATTGTCGAAAACTTGACTATGATCGAAGTACAACCAAAATTATTTGATTTACATTCTTGATAAATCGATAACTTTTTTCTTCTCTTAATGTTTCACATGATCATGCCCCATAATTCTTTTATGCTGGGTATTTTTGATAAGAGCCAATTTGCTGCAGGTAACCAAATTTTAAATTATTATTTTCACATAAATAATGAGCTTAAATTTAATGCTGTGACGAAAGAAATCTTTAAAATGTTTTAAAGTAAAACATCATAATCCGACGTTTTACCGATTGATAGTGAAAAATAAGACAAAACAATTTATCAGTGCTGCTAATGTCTGTAAGTGTTTACATGAATCCGAATGACTTTCAATCCCGATCGAAACGTGATGTCAATCCGTGTTTACATGAAACTAATTGTTGCACTCATTTTAACCCATTTAGCCTCTTTATTCACTTACGAGCTTCAATTTGCCAGAAGACACAATTCCATGGTATGCGTGCTTCGTCATTAATCACAATATCATTCCAGAATGAAACTCAATTCGCGTTTACATGAGATAAGTAAATTTCGATCCGGAATGAAACTAGAATGAACTCGATCCGATCGAGTTGTGACTCATTCCGATTCATGTAAATATGCAATAGATTTCTTTTAAAGTGGAATGAGTTCATTCCGGATCGAAACTCATTCCGATTCATGTAAACACCCTAAGTGGTGAATTATCTAACTATTAGTTGCCTTGGTGGGAGACGTTCACTGCTAAGAATGCTAGTAATCCAGCCAAAAGATATTTAGTAATTAGTATACTATACATAATTTTATAATAGTATTGTTACTTTTTGAGAATCATTTATAAATTAGAATTTATTGTAAAACTGAGTGATTTTCTTGCAGACCTTTGCTTTTAATCTGCCGAGTTTTGTCACACTTACATAGTGCAGTAGGAATGTGTGCTTATTTCAAATATAATTGTGATCATTACTTGTAAGTTATATGATTTTTCATCTTTTATTCAATTCAGTAAACGTTGTGAACGTCTATATGATAATTCATACGTGACTTATGTTTACATGGCTTCAGCCTCGTCAAGCCCCCTTCCTCTAAAAATTAGCCTTGGTCAGCACTGGTCTGTATCAATAATAAAGGTCAACGTCTTAAACGTAGAAAACGTTTATTTAAGACTTTTTGAATTTTGTACAATATGTTAAATTTATTCTCAAATTATTTTTTAATACCACCTCCGTGTCTTAAATGAAAAATAGAAATAAAAGTCACAAATTTAATGCATGAATGGCTGGAATTTTAGTCCCCCAAGCTTTTAAATGCAATCATTGATGTGTGAAACCAAAAATGCCAATTTAACGCAAATTCCACTATAATTTATGCTATCAATGACAAATATTTAACACCTCAATAACAACCTGCAAGTTTATTATGTCTAACATCTAATGGAAGCACAAGCAAGCGTTCGAAATTTTCTCTGTAATATGAAGTTTGTATTGCACTTGCCACAAAAGACAACATTTCCTTTGAAATTATTATTCGCTTGCGCGGGCCCTCAAAATCGCTGGGCTCCTGGCAACTGCCTGACGCCCTCCTCTTAATACAGCCCTACTTCAACCGTCCATAA